AAAAGACAAAATGCAGAACATATCTGAGACTACAGTGCAGGCATTAGAAAGTCACAGCAGACATGAGATATCCAAAGTCACAGAGTCATGGCAAGAATCTACTATGTCTAGTTGGTGGTGTACTTGGTATGCCGTTGCTGATTTAAATGCATACCTGGCATTGAAGGACTGTTACATATATGTGGAAACTGTATGTTTACAGACTCTCCTAATTAACATCAATCTTTTTCTTAATATTTAGATGCAAGATGATACAAGCCTGGTAACTAAACTGCAGAATAAACTTTCAATCTGTGACTTAGGATGGCTCATGGAAAATATGAGCATACCAAAAGTCTCTACAGTTCACCAAGGGTTTGCAGGAGCATTCACCCACATGGATGGAAATGATGGAGAAGAGAAAGAGAGGAAGAAACATTTATGAAGTGCTTCAAACGAGAACATTTGAGATTCAAGTGGATTAAATGCAACACACAACACAGTGACACTGAAGAAGACGACATAAGGAATCCCTACCAGCTGACAGAAGTTAAACCTGATTCAATTATTCTGCATTTAAACAACAAGAGTACTTTGGTAGGTCTTGTTTCTTTCACTATCTGCAAACACTAGTTAGTTTAGTATTTATAAACAGTTGTACAGCAAAAAGACATTGTTATTCCTTTACAATAAGTCTTCAATATTCTCAATATATTTCTCTTTCTTTCTTAGCAGTACTGGAGCAGGCTTTCACTATCCTACACTGTCTAAAATGATGCTAAACTACAAGCATCACAAAGAATATAAAACAACAGTGACTGAAAACGCATTGTAAAAAGCAGACATAAAAACACATTTCATACTTTAAGAACAGTACACAAATAGACAGGACAGAGATATTTAGATGATGTAAGTGACTGAAGCACCACAAATGGGCTGTTCCACAAAGCGTTACGCCTGAGCTGCTTTTACTGAAGTCTCTGGTGGATGGATCGAGAATGTGTGCGAATACAGCAACCGTGAACCTGATGAGGAAGGCACTCGAAACAGTGAAGGTTGTGAAATCGGGCTGCTGCTTGAAGACCTGACAAACCAGCGACGGCCTACTGAACAACCTTGTACATGACAAAAACACGTAATCTAACTTAAACGCTAACCGAACCCATTAAAAACAAACAACCCTGTACAATTTCCACTAAAATGTTCCACTCGGTTTATCGCATGAGCTTGATCTAAATCAGCTTTCCTGCAAACACGCAACAACAAACCTTAAGCAACCTTATTCCGCTCCGAGCTGCAGAAGATGGCCGACACACTCGAACGTAAAAGCAAAAACACAGCACTTACTCAACTTATCCCACATGATGGTAAACTCCGAGATTCGTGGCACCTCACTCTCTGGCGCTCTGTGCTCTTGGCCACTCTTCCGACATTTGTTGAAAATACGGCTGGCTAAGGATCCCTGGGACATGTTGAGACCAACTATCTGGATGTGTGAGTGTACAGGCTCCCAGGCAAAGTAACCGTCTTCAGACTGAACACCAGTGAGTGATACTAGCTTCCTGTATGCACTACAATGCTCGGCTAACCACACAAGTTAAGCTTCCTGTTCAAGTACTCTGCTTCAAGTTGCAATGGGCAACTGCGTGTCTACCAAGAAAAACTATGTGGTGTCATTTGAAAACACTCACTGGCCTCCCATGCCTAACGGTGACACTGTTTTGACAAAAGTAGGTGAACTAAGCGAAGCACACACATGGGCCAGCCTCATAACATTATGGCAGAAACAGTGCACAGCTGTGGTGCATTCAGAGTGCTGATAAGGAAGCAGGCCTGTGTGTAACACCCACTGACTAACTAAGAGGAAAGTTATCTTGTACCACTCTGATGGTAAAGTTTAACAAAGCAGTTCTCTATAGAGACGCTTAAAGTCACCCTTACTGGACATCGTGCTGCATGCTTTCTTTAAAAAAAACAAACGCTGGTGTACTAGATGTGGATTTTTTTTGGGGTCTAGATATTTAAATACCTACAAACAGAAATCTAAAATTACAAATCTGTCTGTAGCTTGCTGTTTGCATCTCATTATTATTGTAGCAACCCTCAGCCCCTCCTCGCAGGAACTCCAGGGTGGCTTGAGTCACAAGGCTGCAAGGACTCCTGCCAGTCAGAAAGCAGGTCAAGATCAGTGCTCTCCAGACAGACTACTAGGCACGGTACAGTTTAGTGGATTACCTCGGTCATTACTCACAAACACACGCCAAACACAACCGAGTGCCCTCGGGTTGCTGCTTTCAAGTGATTGATGGAGCACTTAGGATTGCAAAAACAATGTCAATTCAACAGGTGCAAATGTGACCAGGAGGGGGGCTACCTTTCTCTCGTGTTATAGCATCAACACAACAGGTTAATGCCACTGTGAGAAGACAGCTTTCGAGGCATAACATGGATGGATTTACAGTAAACTTGTTGACGGATGCGGAGTTGACCCATCAGTGTTAAAGGTTGGATGGGAAACAGTTGCTAGCCATTTTGTAGCCCTTGTTTGGAAAACGAAGCCACAGTTGGAGCCCAGACACACTTCTTTATTACAACCATTAGCCTGCTTTAACCAGAGCAAGCAGCCTTATGGCCAGCTCGTCTGTGAGTCGTTATCAGATACCTGTTGTGAGCAGTGACTAGGCCTTGTGCTGCAGCTCGAGTGGAAACCAGTGTTTGCTGATGTTAATCTGGCTCCAGGCAGCTCATAGCATTAGCCCTTTGGAAAATAAACACGGTGCCTTGATAACTTGATTGACTCCAGTTAAACGTTACGGTGTGAAATAATTACATAAAAAGCTTTCATTTGGTTGAGTCGAGGATGTCCCTTTGCGTTCATTGCTGTGGGAAACCTTCAACAGGACACAGAGAGGGTCCTCACTGCCATTTGCTCAAATGTCGCTTTCAATAATGAGCTAGCTGCATCATCTGTGGCACTGGTACCAAGGCGAGATAAGCAACCATACACCACTACGAGGGAGCTAACACACCTTTGTAAATTGCCCTACCAAAGATGGTTGTTCTCTGCAGCCCATATCCCCCCTGTACTATCTGCCAACACTGGACAACAACTGCTAAAGGGCTCCTCTCTCCACTGGCTCCATCGCGATAATAGCTCGTAGCTCTTACGACAGCTAACATTAGATGGCTAGCAGACTCGCCGGGTGGTTTTCAGGTGCTCACCGCTTTCTTGCTCATTGCCTTTCTTGGCAGTTGCTGTGTTTCCCATCGTAGGAAGACAGGGCGACGCACAGCTGGCTAGGAGCGATGATGGTGGCGGGGTAGCTAACAGGGTCCCTCCGTTAGCTAGCTAACAGATTTCAGCGTGTGCTAGCTGGTTGGCTAACAACAACATCAATGTCTTCTCCTGGTGGACAGAAGCTCAACGTGCTCCGCTGACCGCCCTGTTGGTCTTTATTTACAATGTCCTTTTGTCGTTCAAGTACGCCTCCGCTGGAATGAAAACATGATCCAGACTTTTCACCTCTGCCTGCTGTCGTTCTGTGCTGCGTTCACGTCATATGGGAATACCCGCTTGGAAAGACTCGATGCGTTCAGGCGCCAGTCGGAAATCGCACACACTTATGCATCACATTTTATTAGGTAAGAGTTTTTTGTTATATTTATAGAGGTCTTTTTTTTTTTAAAATAAATTCTTTACTTTATAGACTCGCTGTTTGTTAATAAGAATAAGAATAAGACAACAGCAGGATAAGGGTAACGTTATATTTCTAATATTTCTAGGTACACTCACACTGAAGGTTTATCCACGTTTCCATTCAAATATGATGCTAAGAGATGAGACTATTTCATTTCCAAAGGAAGAATATGGATCTTGTCATTAGGAAATATAATCTGATCTGAGACAATAAAACTATGGGCGTATAAAGTGTTAAAGAGGCACAAAATCTTGGGGATTTTCACAATATTCTTCATGTTGTTTGGTCATCCATTATATTCATTCATTCTACATTTTTATAGAAAGACCATGAATGAAGGCAGCAAAAGCAATGGCCTTTAAGTTCATGTTTAGCTTTGAAGCACTACCATCAAATAATATAATAAATAAAATACTGCAGTATCAGCCACAATGTAAAAATCCACTGTAACTGTAATTCAAAATGCAAATGAAAACAAAAGTCCTAATTCTTAATCTTGATTTACCTTTAGAGCATTAATTGTGATTTAAGATGCAGGTGATATGGTAGTAGCTCACAAGGCCTGTTAATTAGTAGAGTAGGGCCTACTGTAAAATGTCATAAATGATAAATGATTGCACAAGTTAGAATTCAAACACTTTACATCAAATGCAAGTTGTTCAGGTTTTTGTGGTGTTAGAATAAATAAATCTAAGACACACGTAAGCAAAGTAAGTCACCTAAAATGGGCTCCCAGTGAACGCATTTAATTTGCAGAACGTGAATGTGTTGCCATACAGTGGAAGCACATGCCATGGTAGGAAGAAATACGACCAGTTGAAGATGATTAAAACTAAATCTGCCACATCTGCATGCACTGATATTTAGAAAACGTGGCTCGCAACATAATGACTATAAGAAAGCAAAAGTCTTTTCGGGAACATTTCCAGGTTATCACGGCGATAAACTGCTATTAAGAAGTGAAGTAGTAAATGACCTCTGAGCGGGTCGCACCCATACAACCGACAGGGTTGTCTTTTAGCACCACGGTCAGCGACACAGTTGCTAGGTAGCTTCCCTGTGTTTGTATCAGCGAGTCGTGGAGGAAGAGCTGCACCGAAACCCGACGGTAAACAATGACCTGAAGGTGTAAGACTATACCTTCTCAGCTGCGGTAAGACTTTTATTTTCCCTCACAACAACTTAACTTACATTGTATGTGTGCTGACTTTACACGTACGGGCATTACAGCACACTAAATGTCACGTTGGCACCGGAGAATGCAAACTTCAGCACTTCTTTCTGGTCCCCTCCCCCCCTCTGTCACAGAGCGAATGGTTTCGCCCATGGACTCGCTCCAGCACTCATAGCACACAAGAGGTCTACAAGACACAGATTTTTTTTGTTTTTGTTGTTGTTGTCTGTCAACCAACGCCAGTCTTATTACACACCATAAACACTGTGAAAATAACTCTCCGGACCGGACGCTTTCTCCTAACAGACCCATGTGTCTCCCGTAGTAACAGGCGGATGAGACCCGCTAAAGAGCCGCACTGCCTGGAACAAACAAGGTAACGTTGACGGGCTACTTCGCCTTCGCCTCTCCATCCTTTGCTCGGTGGTGCGGCTAAGCTAACCGTAGAGCAGCACAGGGTCATCCTGTCTCCGTTTCATTATCACACGGCTTCTCCTTCGGGAATGTGTTATTACATTTTCAAGCAACATGAAATGAAAGCGCCCTCATTCGCAGGGCTGTTCACCGCGCCTGCTGCATTTGATGGTGGCGAGCTGACTGAACATTGTCAGATTGTTTCCCCTCTTTGATCATTTCCACCTGACCTATACAAGTGGCTAGCAACCTAACGTTAGCTGCTGCTTGCTAGCAACCAATCCATAGCAGTAATACACCTGCTTGTGCTTTGGGACATTTGATTTGGGAGGGCAACCAATTTCCTGAAAAATCCTGATATCCAAGATATGACATGTGAGATTTAAGAAATCCAGTTTGCGCTAATCCTGCATTATAGACAAGATCTGTGAAAGGGGATGGCCTACTATCTTTGGTGGTCTGGAAGATACCATGACTGCTATGACAGGCATACCCCCCCCCTCTCTTAGTAGCATAGCCCCTTAGCTATGCTTAGCTTTGCAAGTACCCTTAAGAAGTCTGTCTTGGCATGCAGTACTATTGCTAACACTTAGCTCTGGATGCTCAGACCCTGGTTAATTACATGAGGGATGTGGTCTTTGAATAGCCATTTGATTTAGTCTGGTCTGTTTGCAGTCCAGTGTGCCACTTAGAGACCACATGGTGATAGAGCACCCTGGAGATGACCATTCTCAACATAGCAGATGGATTACATAATAATATCAGCATAACATATGAGCTCTGGTTGGCATTCTGCCTTCTGGACATGTCCCAGAGATAAGGCTATTAAGACGGATATTATATGTGTAATCTTTTCTTTTCATGCAGTTGGCAGCCTTACGGTTTTGGATTAATACAGGATATTTGTTGCAGTGTTGCAACAAAATTAGAAGCGATTACGCTTGGTTGCTATTTGACACCTCTAGAGCGAGATAACACCATAAATACAGGTAGGTTTGGCATATGTGTTCACTCCAAAGACTGGGCTTTGTTCACATTTGTATCCTTGCTTAACTATAACCCAGTCTTATCTGGCAATAATCAGACATGATTAGGTGAGAATTTAATGCAATGTAAAGTGTTTGATTAACAGTTGAACCCGTATTCGTAGGTGTTGATGATACACCTCCATACGTGTAAAGCTCACTTTGTTAAAACAGTGCAGTGCTTTTCAACAGACGCTTTATTGGTTGCTCCCCTTCGTCTTACACAAAATAAGGTCAGGCAAGATTGTAGTTAATGTAAACGTTAATAGCATTTTTTTAAGGCATTGGCTGAATTTTACATTTGGCCATTCTGCGTCTATTACTGTCGATTCTTTCTGATAAACTTAAGCTTAGCACTCAGCTGTTTGTTGGTGTATTTCAGTACGCCGTGGGCTGATAGCTCCCACACTTGTTCCTCCTCATATCTGGAAGAAGGCACGAAGCCAGAGTTGGGTCACTGGTTAGAGCTAATTTTAGATCCGCTGGCAATTCTAAACCAAGTACTTTCCTGTGAGAGTAGTCCGCAAACTCAGCTATCATTTTTCCTGGTGGGACAGTGTTGTGGTGGTGACCATATAGGTAAAGATAGAAATAGTTATATAAAAGGGATAGAAGGATGCAAAGAGACTGTGTGTTTTACACCTTGTAGATGTACAGAATCACTTTGGCATTGTGCCTGTGTAAGAAAATGTCCTGTGAAAAGGCTTTCTACTAGACAAAAGGTAAATTTTCTACTCTAAAAATCTTTTGTTTACGTTTGCTTTTCAGACAAGGATGTGTAATAGTACATGTCTCCACTCTTAGACAGTGTCTCTACCCTTTTAAACGGGTATACCACGAGGTCCCGACACTGCTGTAATGGCAAGACCGGGGCGTACTGCATGCACAGAAAAGAACCTGTGTCTGCAAATCCTGCTCTTTCAGCATAACGTGAAGCTGAGTGGTGATTCCCCAAGCCTCTCTATTGATTCTGTATTTGACGACTGCTTTCAAGATGTACTTTCATGTAAGGCAGGGAGAACATAAAACAAGCCCCTCAGGGATGTACCGCCGGTTGTTGAAGGGACTTGTGTAATAGGTGTGACACTGCTTGTCATGAATAAACAGTCTACCACTTTGGATCAGCCTTTTCCTTTGGCACACTCCTTGTAAAGCTATTTGTGCAGTCTTTTTGGATTAGCTTTTGACATAAAACGGGGTGCTGTGTTTTTGAAGTGCCATTGCCTTATGATAGTGAGATAATACCTGTGTGAAGAGGAATTTCTTGGTAGAGTTTTGAACTAGAACCACGTTACTGTTTCAGTAAATGTTTGTGGTGCTGCAATAAAAAAATGTTTAATGTTTCTGAGAGGGAACCATGATGTACTGTAACATGACACACACATTAACAACTTGTGCTGGATAATTAGGGGGAAGATTCTGCATAACAATGCCCTGAAAGACAGACATACAGTTGTCATGCATTTAGAGCTTGTGAAACAGAGAGCGATGCAGCTGAGCAGCATGAAGCGCCGACTCTCTACAATGAAGCCTTTCTATCTTGTGTGTGGCAGCGGGGAAGTGCATGAGCTCAGCATCCATAGGAGCTCTGCCCATTCAGCTCCGCTCGGCTGTGGTGGCCCTCTGGCTCACTCTGTTGGAGAAAAAGTGTCATTGCATCAGAGGATTAACAGTAGATGCTCTACTTAGTGGAGGGGATTTAGTTAAGATTTCGTTGTAAATGCTTCACTGAAGGATTATTTGTGATGATGCTAGCGGTAGAACATATTGGAAAGTAATGCTTCCAAAGTCTGAACCCTGATGTTCTCATGTGGTATTCAAAAGTTACCAAAAGAGTGATAGAAACTGCAAAGAGGGACAAAAATGAAACTTCCCAGGACGAAGAAGAAGCTCACAGATGTTTCAGAATAAAACAGTATACTGTATATGAGAGTCAAATATGCTATAAAAAAAACATATTCAGCATATATCGCCTGTACTGTCTCTATTTAAAGATTGTATCTTTTGGATTTTATTAGACAGGAAATCATAAAAGTACTGAAATGACAACATCCTAACAAGATGCACACGTCCCTCTATCAGTCAGAGATAACAGTTATTCTAATCTGGTTCCTGCTTACATGGAAGTCCCACTTCTATCATGTGAATGCCAGTAAAACTAGGCCATTTTGTGGTTGATAACCACTACTACCACTAAGACAAATGAGCAAAACACGGCAGAGCCTCTTTTTGCCTTGTCATCCATCACTGCGATAAGTGCCTCAACTGTGACCTTATATGGTAGTCAGGCAAAAAAACCTAGATAAAAGTCTGTGTTGACATTTCACTCTAAGGCACACGGAAACACATTTAATCACATTATCAGAGAAGATCTAGAAGAGAGAACTAAATTCCTATTTGTGAATGTGCTCCTCTCTCAGTTATCATGGTAGCTTGACTTTAGTTTTGAATCCAAGTATAATGTAAAAATATTAGCACTTTTAGCGTCAATTTTAACGCCATTAATAATTGTTAATATTGAGACAGCAACAATAAATGTTTAATTTTGTATGTAGCTGAAAAAATTAAGATACTTAATGTTGATAAAACACAAAAAGTGCAATCAAATTATGAAGATTAATAGTCCTGCAATATTGTGCAGAATAATTAAGAATAACATCACTGCCCTTGTCTGGGGACGGTGTGTATTTTTTTTACATGTGTGTTCTTGTCTTGCGTGTGTGTTTGTAGGTGTTTAGTTGCATCAGATGTGCCTGTCAGGCCTTGTGCCCGAGGGTTTACATGACACCGAGGTCCAGTGCTCCTATAGAAACAGTGTTCCCTGGCAGAGAACCAGTACACCACTGGGAGGTGGGGGCAGGTTGTCATTAGCACAGCTTGCCTCACTTTATCACTGTGACTCTTTGTTGTTGCTCTCCCCCTCTGTGCTGATCTCATTCCAGTCTCTGTCCTCCCCAGGATCAATGTCTTGTGCTTACAACAGGGAGACCAAGAGGCGGACAGTGAAGACTACTGAATGATTGAGTAATGCGATTGGATTGTTTCCCCATTTTAATTTGTCCAGAGGATGCTGATCGAATTGATAGGGTTGCTTTTCAAGTCAGCGTGTGTGGATATTTTCTGATGTGAACAGGTGTGTGTGTGTGTGTGTGGACAGTATCTACAGATGGGTGGAGGGATGAGTTTTCAGCATATTCTCACCACTAGAGGCTACTGTTGATCTCTTTATTAAATTCATTAGAGGCACCATATGCCAGTGTACTGTAGATATAGCCTAATTGATATATAATGTTACCTTTGATTTAAAGTTTATACGGTTATATCTGTTACTATAATTCATGGACTGATACTCACATGGACATCCACATTACATGGTTAGTTTTCTTCTTCAAAATGATGACATCTTGATTAGACTTGGGCCTTGCATGAATGCAATATCTTAGCGAAGTTCTCATGTTTCAAATATGCAACCTGAGTTTCAAACATGCAGTGTAAACAATATTTGCCATCATATGGAAAACAGTGAAAACTATTTTCTAATTGTAAAGAGGAACTTTACTTTACGAGGCAGTGGTTCCCAAACTTTCTGACCCTTCAGTCTGTTAGCATGGATCATTGTCAGTTTAAAATTAAGCAGCTACGTGCACTATTTGACTTGCTAGGATCCTGAGCAGCTGGAATCGTTCCAAGCATGCAGTAAATTGGGGATACAATTTATAGCTTGCTTGCTTCCATTGCTGGACGGAGTCACACAGATTCATACCTGTGGGTAGTTTGGAGTCTCCAGTCCACCTGAATACTGCTTGGTCTGTGAAAATCTGGAGCACGAGGACAGGAGAACCTACAGTGACAAAATATGAACATGCAAACTACACACAAAGAAGCCAGAGACTCAAACAGTGTGAGGCAACAGTGCTAACTACTTAGTCACTATGCTGCCCCAGCCAGCAAAAAACCAAATATGGCAGAACATCTCAATAAAGACACAGTCTCAGACCACAGCTAAACAATAACAGGATTTGGCTGACGGCTGGTGCTAATTCCCCGCACTGATCATAGCCCGAAGCATCCTTTTAACAAACCATGGTAAAGACGCCATCTGTTTGAATAAAGTGACCTCTCAGCCATACAATGAAACCCAACCGGCACAGGCATGAGACACAATGAGATGCTACAAGCCCTTTACTTGACAACTACATTAATATTGCTTAGTAAATTCCATGGAACACCAATTAGTCCAGTTGACCTAACACACCTTTAGATTATTTCATTAGTAGTACTGCAGTGTCTGGGCTGAGTTCTCACTGAACTGTTACGCTCAGTGTCAGATTGACTGATGTAGCCTGTGATAGGACTGTGTGCTGCTGCTTTACATCAAAAGCATGTCCAATGCCCTCCAGTCCAGTGAGAAAACACACACAGATCCACAGTGTGCACTCTCTGAGCAGTCAGCCTACTACTACTGGTCCGCAGCAGTAAAATATCTTTTTTCTTCTCCTCTACAGGCATTCCTATCCATCCCTCTGTCCACCCCCCCTTCCCCTCCCTGTCTCCTCTTGGGGCTGTAAATAAGCTGGGGCTGTGTAGACCCTTGAGAGGCCATCCCCCTCCCACTCTTCCCCACCACCGCTATCCCCTTCTAACTCCTCACCCTACTCACACTCTGCTGCTGCTCTTTATGCTGCTGAAAGGCGCCAGGGAGATGCTCAGATGATCCATTGGGCCATCCTGATCCACATCGTCCATACAGCCCAAGACAGGGAAGACTAACTAGTGCAAGTGTGAGAGAGCCCTTGGAGCGTGCTGTGAGAACCCTGCGAGGCCCACCCGCCCGCCAAGCCTGGCAGAAAGCTTGGCTTGCCCCTTCACTCCTCCAGCCCCTGAGATGCCCTCCCCTCCCAATGAAGGAGGTGAGTAAGAGAGGCCCAACTCTCTCCGGACTGACAGGGTTATTCTCTTAGGTTGTACATACACTGTGGCATTCATAAGCATACACACACATGCCCAAGTGGGCTTATATACATAATGTACCTGCCTGCCTGCTCATCAGTACTATTCTTTCCTGCATAGAGCCCCACACACACTCACACACACACAGATTATAATAAAAGGATCATGATGCATGCAGCTATAACAAACTAGTCGCCTAATTCATTTACACCCTAGCCCCATAAACAAACCCCAGTAAATCCCCTGCAGAAATGAGGAAAATATATCGAAATACTCCTGCTCCCCTCCCAGTCTGGAGCACAGGCTGTGACTGTATCTAGTTTTGTTGTATTCTGTCTCCTCCTCCAGAGGATCAAGGAGCGTCCCCCGTGAACGGGCCATCTGTGGGATCCTACCACAGCAGTGGGAAGAGGAAGGTGCGCACCAAAAAGAAGAAAGGCACTATCAGCGGCAATGTTGCTGGCACCAAATATGAGATCGGTACGGTAACCTATCACTAATCATTTTAAAATGCTTTTGAAAGTACAGTAATGACAACAATGCTGAAACATGTTCAATAAACATATTAGAAATGGAGCTAAAACAGGCATATGCACTACATAAATGTCAGTCTGCAAAGATAAGGTATCTTTTAATCAAAGGGTGCATGTTAATGGAGGAGCTAGTGTAGGATGAAAAGAGGCTGTCTTTGAGATGGCTGATGAAATCCTTTCATTGATGTACATTATCCGTGTACTGATGTTTTTTGTTTAAATAACAGGGGAGCTGCCTGAAATAGCAGTAGTGTATGTTTTTACTTACATAGACATGTTGAATGCATAATTAACATTAATGAACACACAATAAATGATCACTGGTCTTGTCTGGTAAGCTCATTTTATGCCAGATCTCGCTACATTGTGTATGCAGTAATAAAACGCCTCCGATTTCAAGCTTCTGAATTTAGATTTAGATTTTTTTCATGGAAATTTCATCAGAAAGCAAGACCAACATTTTAGGTGGTTAGTATGGCTTAGTCTGCCCCTCAAAACACAGCAAATCCAATCACAATGTCGTCTCAACAATAAAATCTAATTTGCTGTGGTGAATTGTTTGAAGGAGGCCGTTGTTATTTAATGTTTTAAATTAAACCTAATAGAGTTGCAGTGATGCCAAACAGTTCACACGGAGACAGCTCGGCCTTACATACATATATAAATCTTTATTGAGGTAATTTAACTTGGCAGTGAGTTTTTTTTTTTTTTAGAAGGGCCAAAAGAGCAAAGTAAGCACTCCTTACATGTTCAGTATATTGTGTGGCAGCACAGCTCTCAGGGGTGAACTACAACCCTATGAAACTAAGGAGTCAGCAGCAGCAAGTAGAAGTTGGGGGGCTGCTGGGATCCTGTAGGTAGATGGGAGTCTAGCTGTGAGTCAGTTTGCTAGCTGTGACGAGACGCTCACAGTGGCCATTCGGAGGGAAGTGCAAGGCTATTTTGAAGGAAAATTAACACTAAGGGCCAGATGGATGCCTCATTTTTGCTGTTACCTTTTTTGCAGCTGTCTTTTTTTGTTCCAGAATTGATAGTATTACAGGTAAAGGTTAAAGGTCAAGGAATGTGGTGTTGGAAATTTGCTTTACACCCACTGAGAAGGGAATGTAAACTCTGGCCCTAAGGATGGTGAGATACGTAAGAAAGGATTGATTATAGCTTTGTACTCAAAGACTGTACCAAGCATAGGCCTGCTGTGATGTAAACCCTCCCTGTTCTAGTTAGCAGACCACTGTTAGCCTCTGCCGACGTTAACAGATGGATGAAGTTACATCGGAAACACTTTTTTCCCATTCAGGTGCCATCATGCAACATTAGGCAAGCCTTCTTCAGGTTTGTGAAGGCTTTCAAGAAATTAATTAATAGCTTGTTTCGTTAGGGCATATGAATTTTTCATTACTCACTGAATAATGAATAGTTGTCGGATTAATGTCCAAATGGGCTTGCCACCTATCTCTCATACTATGGGGTTTCCAGTGGGATTTGAATGCATTACAGACAATTAATTTATCTTTTTGAAAAGAGGCATTACGATTGGCTGCTCCTCAACCATTCCATGAATGGTAAATATAGCTGTAAGCTTTTTGATCTATAATCTCCTGGACTCATTTCTCTCTTAATGTATGTATAAACAGAATTTAAGCCAAATGCAAAATGTTTGAGCGAAACAGAAATATTGATTTGTGGCTCTGAGTCACATCTTGCTCTCATTTTGAATTTATAGGTTGTTTTTTAGTTGTTTTCATCATTAAAATGGCTTCTAAAAGACAGAGTACAAAGTTTATTTATACACTATATATTTTTGCAATCTATTATACAGTGTAATGTGATTTTTTCCCCCCTAGTTCGTATAGTCATCAACGAAATGGACTTTATCAAGTCCCGAGATGACGACGAGACTGCCAACCTCATCTGGAATGACTCGGCCGTGCAGCACGAGAAAATCGCTGAGCTCAGGAATTATCAGGTACACTGCATGGCCACCATGTCAAGTCAGCACACCTTGTATGGTAGCCTAGTATAAGGGTACCGAATAAGGGTGTCAGATTCAATTGCTGCAATGAACAGGAAAATCTGGATCTTAACCTTTACTTGTGCTCCAATAAAGCTGCTCAGTGGCCAACAGCCAAAGTCCATGACACCAATCAGCTGCCAGCGGACGTATCTAACTTTGGAAATGAAAGGTCTTGAGGAGCAGATCCGAAAAAGATCATATGTGTTCTGTAGACTTTAAAGGTAAACCAGATGTTACAAACAACGTAACAGAACAAAATAACCTGCCCCTTATGGTGTATATCACTAGTTGAAATGGATATTCCCGAAGGATTCCTAAAGAGAAAAGGTGAAAGGGATGCCTCTGAAATTAAACAGTGCAGTGCACCAGAAGAAAAGGGATTTAAAGAATGAAACAAAAATGACAGCTACTTCAACCCTTCCCTGCTTGGAGAATTTTGATCTAAATGATTTTCCTAAACAGAAAACTCAATCCACTCCTGCAAATAATCATTTGCTTAGAAGAAAAAAAAGAAGATTTACTTTATTGATCCCCAGAGGAGAATTTTTTTTCCCCTTGAATCTTTACACACATAGGCCTGAAAAATACAATCTCACACACACCACACCCACAGAAACACACACCGCCACAGGCACGGCTCCTGGATATGCAAATGTGGAGTGGGTGGTGAAGTGATGAGCCCTGCCAATGAGGGTGGTGCCCTGGGGCAGTTAGGGTTCTGTGCCCCTGCCAGCGCTGGCAGTGCTTTCAGGGGCACCTCACCCAGGAGCTGAACCACCACGCTCTATACTGTGGACTTGAACTGACCACCCTCCGGTTTCCAAGTCCCTACTGACTGACTGCTGAGATGGATAAACATGACACAATTTCTGCAGATTATTCAAACGTATTACAGCAAAGCATTCCTAGATACACTCTTAAAGAGAGAAGAAACCACTGAACCACTGTGATTCAAGGCCTTATAACATGCTTCTAAATATTTTGCACAATAACGTGATATAATGATAATGAACTGTGACAAAAGGTTTATTCACACTTACTGTCAAAAATCTAATTGTATTGGGAGAAGTTACACCTTAAATGAATTCCTTTCAGCAGATATCACAATCATTATATTTGCTGGCACATGCAGGGCTGATGGGGCATACACACTACATGTGAGGACAACAACATAGCGCTGGCTAAACTTAGCAGTGAGCACATAACACCTGCCAACAAAGCGATTTGTCAGTGAACATTACTCTTTGTACCTGACACTTGTATGTGTGAACAATGATCATACTGAAACCTATTTTTCTGGCCTGCATGTCATTAAACATTTGCCAGATAAGTGATCATGTGGCATTTCAGTTCAAATAAGAATATTTTAAAGAACACATTGTAGAGTTTTTTTCTAAGTTAATTCTTCTGAACAGAATCCACCAGAGGACACTCAGCAACAGCAAACCATCTGGTTTATAAAAACAGTGTGTGACCGTAAAAAAAGAACAGAACCATTTCAACATGTGGATATCAATCATCATGAACTAATATTGGGGAAACTATGAGGGGGAGATAAGGAGTTTCTGAGGTGCAGTTACTTTGTCAAGTTAAGTCAATTTTACTTATATAGCCAAAGTCACAAATCTCAAAAGGCTTAAAAAACCCAACTCAAATGTACTTAATGTGAGGAAAAATACATAAAATACCATTGATTTTATTTATCCTATAAATGAAAACAGTATACAGATAGTATACTGCAAGATAATACAGTTTACAGAAATGGAGCAGTTTCCATCAAGACCATAGCTCAGGTTTCTGGATCTGATGAACCTAATCAGTTTGTGTATAATGTGCACACCACCCTGCCTTACAATATGTTTTTAGACCTGTCTACACAATTTGGGATATACGGAGTTGGGGAAAGCAATGGAAAGTTAAGAAGATTCAGTTTAAACATGGTAAATAAAATAGAATAGAAAGAAAGGTGAAAAAAGTGAAGATGGACGGCCATCTGCTTATCGTCAGACCGAAGGAGGTAAGAGAGAGACAGCAAATAGGAGGGGGGGATGGACAGAGGGAGAGGGAACAGCTTACAAAAAAAGAGACTGACGGGAAGATTGACAAGTAGACTGACAAGTTGTGGGCAGCAGGGGGTGGGGGTCAGGTTTCAGATGTCACTAGTGATGTTGACAAGACGGGCCCAAACAACAAGGGTTGCTCTGTGTTCTGTTTACTAGTCTGAGAGTGATCCTACCTCTGTTTGACCTCCCTGTCCTGCTGAGTGAACTTGCTGCTGCTGCTCCGAGCGCTAGCCATCCATCTTCCCGAGTGCTTATTTGATTAGACTGGGCACTAATGATTGATTAAATCACAAGCCACAAAGAATATGGCTTGTTAGGACAGGGGCAGCAAAAGTTCAGCTAAATAGATTGAATATTACAAATACTGTAACAGCTTAATGTGTAGCAATGTGGCTAATGTTTCACATGGAACTGGTGATTTGCTGTCAATTGTTTTCACTTGCTCTCTCGCGCTGCTGTGGTGTTTCATGAGATAATTTCTCAGTAGAAAAGTAGAAGTCCCTCAACAATTGGTTTTGATTTCCCCTCACAAGCCACGTCGTCTCGCGGCATTGGCATAATTGTGCAATCTCTTCCGAATCCCTAATTACATCTGTCTCGTTTGGATAATAATCACAGGATCCTTTTACACTCTGCGTTCTTTTTTCCCCCTCTCCTCTCTCTCTCTCCCTCTTTTAATTTTTTCCTTTTTTCCGTTTAGTGATGTACTGTGAGAGTTTGCTGTCAAGTTTCAGTTCATACGAGCCTAATTAACGCCCCTGTTCAGGCTCATTTGGTCAAAGAATACAGAAAACCCAGAATTTTTCCTTTACCCCCCACCCCCCTTTCAGCGCATTCAAAGCAATTCATTCAACTGTCACTGCAGGAGCTTGCGATGCAGAACCAATTACCTCGGCCCCTCGGAGTTGAGATTGATCTTTTTTTTTCTCGCCTCTTCCCTCCCCAACCTTTAAATAGTATAAAAAAAACTATGGTAAACTAAATAAGGGTTGAGAAAGGTCTCAGCATCACCTTTTTGTTTTGAGTCCGTAATTGGGCATAAATGTCAGAACATTGTAAGCTCACTTCAGGTTGCTGCCTTTAATGTGCTCATTTTTATGAAGGGGTGGGGGTGGAATTGAGTGGCGTAATGGCCCTAACAACATTATTATGTCTGCCTGTCCCTCTGCAGAGAATTAACCATTTCCCTGGTATGGGCGAAATCTGCCGGAAAGACTGCCTAGCAAGAAACATGTCCAAGTAAGTTTCCTGTCTCTCTTAACACATAAAATGAGAGTACTTTGGTTCAGTTGCAGTTGTGCAAAAACAAGAGCATTTCAAAGCTCAGTGTTCAGCCAGCTGGCACTCTATGAAGTTACAACTGGGTACTTGCAGCACTCCACCATCACAAGCACAAATAAATAGAAAACACCGCTGTAAAAGCACAAAATAAATTCTTACTGTAATAACTCTGCTAAATGCGACTTATAAAGTATAAATAGTACATGTACAAGAGCCCAGATGATTCTAAAAGTGTAAAATGATCTTTTCTTTGTTTCTCAAGAATGATCAAGTGCCAGCCTCAAGAGTACAGCTTCATACCCAAAACCTGGATCTTCCCCGCTGAGTACACTCAATTCCAGAACTACGTTAAGGAGCTACGCAGGAAACGCAAGCAGAAGACCTTTATTGTCAAACCCGCTAATGGAGCCATGGGTCACGGGTAGGTCAGAGGCTAGCAAGTGTCTCTAACACACTGACTACAAGACAGAGAGGAACCAGGTCGACTGAAACGGGATAGAAAGCACGGGAGTGAGTGAGCGGAGGAGGAAATTAGCAGTAGAGGAAATAGAGGACAAACACAAGAAAACAAGGCAATGCGAGGTTTGTTACCCTGGCTTGGGTGTCTATGGAAATAGCATTAGGGCTGGGACCAGATTGAGTATTGGAGCTGAGAGGGTGTGGTGAATCTCATTGTTGGTCTCATTGTCCTCGATGGTCACACTCTTCATAAATCAGAGGTTATCGCTGCCAGTGGAGGACACACACACACACACACACGGTCCCTGGCAGTTACTGTAGTTCCTTCCCTGAAGGTCTCTGCATGTGATTATTGGATTCCTTTATGAGGCACCATCAGCAGAGACCGGTCAGACTAGAAAATGGACCATGATGGCTGCTGCAGGGGACTCTGTCTCTCAATAGCACCTCTTTATGAAAAGATGAGCGTACCTGTGTCATCTGAGTGCATACTTCATCCAGATGACAATATGTACCTGAATGCATATTTCATACTTGCAGTCCCATGGGGTTAAAGCCTATCTCAGGTTGTGATGTCACATTTCTATGGTATGGTTTCACTATCCTGAAATCATGAAGTATGTAGAGAATCAGCCCTAAACTTTTCTAAACTGCAAGCATGGTACATTCTAGTGCCAAGTAAAAATCCAACAATCAGTGCACTGTGGTGGAGCTTCAACGGTTCGAGCAGTGTTGTATTTGGCATTATATTGAGAAGTGCTGTGTGTAAATAGGGGTGGACAAAACATTACAAAACAAAATGTACTGCCCCCTGACACTGAGTCAAAAAAACTCAACATTATAAGCCTGGCTGAGCATGGGGTGGTATTGATTCTAAAGCTCCGTTGCTCTTTTTGAGAAGAGCCTGTTGAGCTGATTTGTTTATCAAGTAAGCAAGCTCCCTTGCTTTAGGAGAAGTTTCAGGGACTGCACTGAGTAGGAGGAGATCCTGAGGCAGAGCCACGACACCCTGGAGGGATGACATTTCCTTCCCAGGAGAAGTTAATGAAAATAAGGAAGCTCCCTGGGGACATTTGGGCTTCTCTGTTCACACTTTTGCCATCACAACACTGACTAGGATAAGTGCCAAAAAAATGGATGTATGGTCAACAATGCAAGTATCTTATATTGTGTTTAAAATAATCCTAGTAACGTATTCTAATGTTCTATGTATGAGCCAAACCAACTCATTTGGCACTCAAAACAGAGTTCTCTTCAGCTATGATTTGACCTGCGTGGAGTTCAAGAAGGAGACTAAAATAAAGTGAAAATGCCAAGTGGTTCAAGTTCAAATATACAAGTGTGGTTGGTTTTACAAATAATTCTGTTTCATAAGATAAAATATTAACTAAAAGAAAGGCCAAACTGTGAATATTATGATTTGGCTCAAAAACAGGGCCCTCTCAAAATAATGTATTTTTGCTTTGCACATAGCTCTCTTGAGCTCTTGAGAATAAGCTGAAACTTGCTGAATATTTATTAATAAATAACTATTTGACTTTTTATTCTTTGAAAATAGGATCCCTGAAGTCCATGTATGGGGACTGTACTTTAGAGTGCATTAATCACTGGCACCAATAGGTGGGGATATTGAAGTACAAATAGCTCAGTGTGCTTCACCTTTCCCTCTGATTCTCTTTGAATTTGTCCTTTCTGGTATAATGTGAGCATTACTTATAACTCCATGCTGCACTAAGCCCTTATTTATTAAAGAATAAAAGGCAGCAAAGGCTGAATTATTGCAATACATTAAGAATATGAAAGATGATGAGTTTAGCTCGTCCACTCAACGCCGGGCGGCTCACAAGATTAGATTTTTCTCTATTTTTTGTGCATGGTGTGACGCGGCAGGAAATTAAGTTATATCTACCCCCTGTAATTTATTTTTCAGTCGGCCAACTAAATGAAGTTATTGTTTGTGTCTGAAGCGCAGCTTGTTATAAGGGAAACAAAATAAAAGCGCGTGCAGGGCTTAAAAAGGCGAGATCCCCTCCGGTGCCAAATTAAATAGGCAGGGGAGAGTGGGCCGTGATTATCTGACACCCCAGCTCATCAATCATGTCGTCTTCTCCTCAGCTACTCCTCCTCGACTAACTAACACCGTTAACCCTGTCCTCATCATTCAGCTTGCTGTCTGCCTGTTAGGAGGGCCCCTCACATCATCGGTCAGGCTCCCATCCACTTCTCCCCGTTCTTTTCTGTTCAAGTACTCTGATAAGCAGGCCAATGAAGTGCTCGTCTATAATGCAACAGTACTTTGGTTGGTGGGGGCACATGGTGATGAGGAGTGACTGATGAAGCTGAAAGTAACAACATTATACTAAAAAAAAAAACAGATCTACAAGCTGCCATGGTTTTATCAAACCTCTGAAGGGAGGACTGCTGAACTAAGACCCACCTTCATCATAACCTGAAAGGCAATAAATGGATCACAGTGGAGATCCACACTTAGAAGCTCATCAACAGTGCTCCGGTGTTTTTGCTTCATTAGTTAACCGAACAGGTGGATTCTTTGGTCAAAATAAAACAACACAGGCTGCACTGTTCCCAAGATACTGTATGTTGTGGCTGTGATTACAGAAGCCGCAAAGCAGAACGATGTTTGCCCTCTGGTGGCTTGGTGCCACAATATTTCAGTACCTCAAACTGTACTTTTTGAACAATCAAGTCTTTACATCCTGGCCAAATATTATGTTTGTGTGTGTAGTATGCCTGCTTGCATGTGTATAATGGAGCCTCCCAGCCCTTCCTGTGCATGTAAGCAATTTAGGCCAAGTCTGCCTTAACTATGAGTGATGGTGATATAGGTCAGTCGCGATGCTTGTACATAGTGGGAGATTGTTTTAACGACGACCCCCTCACCCTCGCTGCACACACACACACCCACACACATACCAACAGACGTACACACTTTCACAAAGTTTTCAAAATATTGCCCCTCCATTCACCCTTGCGTGCACAGCCACACGGATGCACACAAACACAAGTCATTCTCGAGTCCAGCTAGCAATGGCCTGTGTACTATAAGGTCTGAGTGCCAGTGACATGAGACCAAAGCAAATGAATTAGAGTTGAGGTTGAAACGGAGCACAATGTCTGCTCCTATTAACCTGCCCACAGCTAAAAGACCCTGCTACAACATTTGATCCACTGTGCCATTCAGACAGAGTGCAGTTGGGCTTCAGAAAATCACAATGTTCTCCAGATGCTCGCAGAGGTTTGGCCAGACAAACCAGCATTTGTGTTGTACCTGTCTGTTTTTTGTACATTTATATTTCAACTGTGATTTTAGATGGCCAGGTAATGAACAGAATTTGACCATTCCATGCCCTACAGAGCCAAACAGCTTGTCCCACTCAAACTAAACCTGAGGCATGCTGAGTGCACTCATTTACATATGATTTCAGTAAAGGTTATTTAACAGTGGAAGGTCACACAGATGCCATTAGGGCATCATGACTCTTATCCTTTTACTCCGAAAGGCTAAACGTCTTCTGTGTAAATGTAAGTCATACGATGCACAGTAAGGACATGTCTTCTCCCTCTGATTGCATCTATTGCTCCTGTAGAACATTATATGTATTATCCATTGCTTTGAAAAACAGAAGCAGGGCATATTAATCTTGAAATGTGAAGATTGAAAGTATCAGCATAAGAGGCAGATGTGGCCCCAGAAAAATGCCACTAACTTTTCCCGATGACTTGAAATGAAATATTGTGTTGAAACCCATAAAATCTGTATACTGTTTGGCTCAATTTTTTTGCTTCACGTATATAAGACAGTGCCAAAGTCATCAGTCATGTTCATGGTCCTTGCTGTGCTTCCATCTATCATTTTTTTAATTATCTTTTTTGTCTTTACTATGCCATATTTTATTATGCTGGTGACGACACCCCAATTTCCCCCCCAAGGATTAATAAAATTTCTGTCTATCCAGGATCTCGCTTATCCGTAACTGTGAGAAGCTGCCAGCCCAGGAGCACTTTATCGTTCAGGAGTACCTGGACAAGCCCTTCCTTATGGAGGGCTACAAGTTTGACCTACGCATCTACATCCTTGTCACTTCTTGCGACCCACTTCGAATTTTTCTCTACAACGACGGCCTGGTTCGCATGGGCACAGAGAAGTACCATGCACCCAGTGAGGCCAACCTGGTGAGTCACAGTCAATAATACTTTCAACAATAATGATAATAATAGCCTTTGTTTTTTGTAGAAGTTTTCAAAGCAAAGTTACAAAGTGCTTCACAGAAGCTGCACGTTCACTTGGAGACACACATGGTCGTAGACACATACCGTGTAATAACTAATAACAGTACATGCATCTATATCCGTGTACCATCTGTGCACAAGACCAGTTTGTTGAGTTGTAGACATACACACAACTGTTCAAGGATTTATATCAGAAAGTACATACAGTACCTGGTGTGTGGCCAATCAGGCGAGTCAGAAATGCACTACAGACAGATAGTACCAGTAGATTCACAGAACAAAGTATTTGCCATGCACTCCCGTGAACCTTAGCAATGGGCTTGTGTACCTCAATATAATGAAATTGTACACACAAACACACAGGAGGACAGAGATTTGAAAACGCAGTGTAATCTCTGTATGAAAACATGCAAGCACTCATAGACACAACGGTGCCCAAATGCTGACAACTGTAAGGCTGTTCTCTCTCTACCTCTCTCTCACACACACACAGAATGTGCAGGCATACTGTATGAACACAGCTGAGCGTAAATGTCCACATGCCAGATGTCTCCTGTAATATCAAGCCGCTCATATTTGCCTTGAGGTTCTGCACCTGCTGAAGCACAGTCTGTTGCTGATGATAGGGTGCATACACACACACACACA